TTTTTTTTTTTTTTTTTTGGAGACAGGGTCTCACTCTGTCACCCAGGCTGGAGTGCAGTGGCGCAATCTTGGCTTACTGCATCCTCTGACTCCCGGGTTCAGGTGATTCTCCTGCCTCAGCCTCCCGAGTAGCTGGGACTACAGGCCCGCACCACCATGCCCAGCTCGGTTTTGTATTTTTAGTGGAGACGGGGTTTCACCATGTTGGCCAGGCTGGTCTCGATCTCTTGACCTCATGATCCACCTGCCTTGGCCTCCCAAAGTGCTGGGATTACAGGCGTGAGCCAACGCACCCAGTCTAGTATTCAATTTTATAGGCAGGCCACCTCCACCTACTTCATAGAAAACCAATGTTACACAGAACAGTGAGAGCCACTGAATCAGTGGTTTTTCCTGGCTCTAGTCACACTCTGGCTAAACACAGAAACCTAAGTCTGAGCTATCTTCAAGGCTGGCTGTACACAGTCACCTTGTGACTTAATTCCATTCTCAAAAAGTCACACTGGGTACCATTATGCCCAACGTGGCCACATTCTGTAAAGGTCTTTTCATTTCTGCAGTCACCACTACAGTACTGGCCCTTATATTTCTACTTAGACTAGCCCCACAGTCTAAGTGGATTCTGTTCCCAGTTTTTGCTGTTTAATTCATCCGTCACACTGCTACCAAACTAATTTCCCTTTAATCAGTGCTTCAAAATGTTGGATAATTTTGTCAGCCCCTCCCCGACTCTCTAAACGTTTCGCAATATCTGCAGACATCTTTGATTGTCAGGACTGGAATTCAGTGGGTGGAGGCCAGGGATGCAGCTAATATATCCTACAACGCACAGGACAACCCCTGCCCCAACACACACAGAGACACACATGTGGTAAGGGGGTAGGGACAGGGAGGAAGAGGGACAGGAGGGGGAGAGGGAGAGAGAACAAAGAATTATCTGGCCCTAGATGACTATGTTGTCCTGGACTAGTCATTTAAACTCCTTGAGCGTCAGTTTCCTCATCTGTATGTACTCCGTGGTCAAATACCTACCTTAAAGGCTGTTGGGACGAGTGAGTCACTCTATGCAGAACACTGAGCTGTGTCTGCAGACTGGACACTTCACACATCTTTAAATTGTTTCGTTGGTCTTTTCTCTCAAACAGAATTATTCTCTCACTAAAAAGGCTAGAATGGACACCAATAATGGGAAGAGAAGCTCCCAAGAAGTAGATTTCACATGAACATCAGAGGTGTTTTTCTGGGCCTGGATAAATTACATGTCAATAACATAAGCAGGCAAGGTTGCTGAGCCATGGTTACAACAAGTGCTATTAGCCCGAAAAGGGGGTTCTTAAAGCTATTATCAAAAAATGCAGTAAGTAGATTTGGAAAACTGTAGGCTGATGAACCTGCCATTTGAAAAAAAGTCTACGTTAAGATGGGTGTATAAGGACCCAGTAACAGAGAATCACGGCACGCTAACCTCTTTTCTTTGACAGAACTACTGAAGTGGGGAACACTGGTGATAGGATATACGTGGAGTGCTATGTCAAATCTGACAGGACCTTTCATGACACTCTTGTGGAAACGCAGCCTGGGTACCATGACAACTAAACAGATTTGTAACCACTGGAATAACCGCACCGAACATGGTGCCTAGCCCAGTGCCACCACATGGACATCTGCTCTCATTCCCATGCCCTCCTTTCTGCTGCAACTGAGGAACTGTCCTTGGACAACCTGTGGCCAAGCCTCCAGGGTTCTGGACCCAGCCTTCCTGCCCCCTGGAAGACTCTGGCAGATCACTCCCACCCAATTTCAAACACACCCTACCAACTTTGTCCCGCCATCCCGTACTCCCACAATTTCTCCCTCAGTCTTCAATCTTCTTGAAAGAGTTGTCCTAACAATCCTTACTTCCTCTCAACAGTCTTTCAGCTGGCTACTTTTCCCATCACTTCACAAAATAGGCAAATCCAAGGTTATTTTTCTGTCCTCACTTTACTGTTAGGTCCTGAACTTGTATTCAGGACGCCAAAATAGAGCAAAAAACAGAAGTATAGGAAAAATAATGTCTGACTTAGTAGCAGTGGAAACTTAAAAAAAAAAAAATTAACCACATTAAGCTGAGACTGAGTCAACTAGTTGTGTGATGCATAAGTGGTTATCTTACATAACAGAACATGTTCACTCTCTGTGTACTGGTCGTTATTTTACCCGGAACTTAGTTTTAAGGATATTTTGCAAAATAAGACTTAAACTACGACTACTGCCTGAAGATACAACCTGCTGCCCTAGGGAATGGTATGTGTAGGAAGGGTTGCCTGGCAAATAGCAAGGTCTTATTATTATTATTATTTTTCTTGAGGTCTTGCTCTCTCGCCCAGGCTGGAGTACAGTGGCACAATCACAGCTCTCACTACAGTCTCGACCTCCTGGGCTCAAGTGATTCTCCCATCTCAGCCTCCTGAGTGCCTGGGACTACAGGCGGGCGCCACCCTGCCCATGAGATTTTTAAAAATTTTTGTAGGATGGTGTCTCACTATGTGGGCCAGGCTGGTCTCGCACTCCTGGCCTCAAGCGATCCTCCCACCTCGGCCTCCCAAAGTGCTGGGATTACAGGTCCCAAGGTCTTGTCTGGAATGAATACAGTAATTTCAAAATTTTGATCGTAACTCAAGACTCACTGAATCTGACCGGCAGTAGAGCCAGTGTTATAACCCTAAATTTAGCAAGTCAGAAAGCACAGGTCAAGGTTTACTGACTCAGTCAGATGCAGGTTTTCTGACTCAGAGTTTAGAATATTCAGACATGATTCAAGAAAGCGAAGAAACCAGAGTGCCAACGAGCCATCACCTTATGTTGATGAAGGGACAACCGATCCTGGGGCGCGCTGGGTTAAGAGCTTGGATTCCTACTCACCCCTCCAACTTTTGGACGCGGTGAATGGAAAGGGGACCATGATTAGGAATCTAAGATTTCCCCACCTGTTAGAACCACAAGGCTCCTTCTGTGGATTTTAACGTCTTTTGTACTCCCTTCACCCCATGGATCACAGGCGAAGATCATATCTCGTCTGCAGACTTACCTCCCTCCCAACAGCGCTTGGGGAGCCGCACCGAGCAAATGAGGGCTTCCCTGAGAGTTCCAACAGCTAGAGGCCTGAGAATCGTGCCAGGCCCGCTTGGCGGCCTGCGGTTCAGGGCCAACCCTGAAGACCCCAGCCTCGGCTGCCACGCAGAAGTCCCCCTCCCGTCCTCGCGCCCCGGCCTGCTCACCCGCATGGGACATGGGCATGGTGAGGTTCCCGTAGCGCTCCTCGTTGTAGAGGACCACGGCCGAGGCGTTCCTCCGCGCCGCCACCAGCACCTTGTCCTTGAAGGTGCAGCCCCCGCGAGCCACCAGGGCGACCCAGGG